GGTCATGCCCCCTGAAAAACCAGCCTCTACCTCAGAGCAAAGCCTGTCCAAGGAAGGGACATGACCTTTGTCCTTGGAAAGACCCACAGAGCACTCCTAGGCACATTCCCACTCTGCTAAGTTGTTTATCTACAAATAACAGGAGAGATCTGCTGCGCCAGGAGTCCCTGACTCAGTCAGGCTAGGTGGGGACCCATAGCAACCCCCTAGCAGCCACCAATCAGCATGAGACAGGGAAATACCTGGGATGCCAGATGACCCTCCCAGTAGTTTATGGTGGTTGATAACGTGTTGGGAAACCATGTAATTCAGCAAGAACACCCCTCTTGGCTTAAACCAATCAGTTCAAATGAATACCCCTTTTGTAGTAACCAATCACCCCTACCCAACTTGTTCCCGCCAGTGAATGTGCTAATCATGTTTTAGAGTTGTTATTTGATTTTCCCTCGGTGTGTGATGATTTGCTAAGAGATGCTATGATGTATGTGGGGGTCCCTGCCTTCTTCAAAGAATGTATAAAACTGCTGCAAACCCTGGGCTCGGGGCCTCTCAGCATCACCAGTTGCTGTGTGCGCACGGAGGACCGAGCTAGCTCGCAATAAACACCTCTTTGCTATTTACATTGATCTTGGTCTCTGGTGGTGTTTTGGGGGTCCCGAATTCGAGCATAACACCCCTTCCTTGGACAGGCTTTGCTCTGAGGTAGAGGCTGGTTTCTCAGTAGAACACACCTGTCAACCCATTTGGGGGACTGAGGCAGGAGGGTCACAAGTTCAAGGCCAACCTGTGCAACTTGAGATCCTGTCTTAAAATAAGAACTGAGAATGTAGCTCCGTGGTAGAGTGCTTGCCTAGTTTTTAAATTCTTTAACTAATGATTCTTTTCCTTCTCTCTTTCTTCACCCTGCTCCCCACCATATTGGAATGGAACCCAGGGCACTCTGCTTAAAGAGTGGTCCACTTTATGCTGCTCTGCCGCTGTAGCTTATTTTTTAAATGGACATGTTTCTTTCTCTTTCTCTCCCCCTTCTCCTTCCTAATTTCTCTCCCTATCTCAGGATAACCTTTCTTGCCAATCCTAGACAGAGTGAATCTGTCCTTGAGTACACACCCACCATAGGAATGAAGTAATCCAGATTTGGGGATGATACTAGAGGATCTCAGAAATGTCCATCTCCCAAATTAACAAGTGAATTACAAATACAACAGAGAATTGGTGGAAATGTAGCCTTTGAATCACCTCTTTAAAAGCCCCCTGTTCCTGCTGGTGGGCAGAATCACAGCCTTTGGGACAGGAGTACCCTGTGTTTTTCCTTTGCTAGCAAAGCAATAAACCTTTTTCCTTTTTCTCAAAAAATTGGCATGGGGACAAGGACTGAGCTTTCAGCCACACTGCCACTGAGCTACATTCTCAACGCTTTTTATCCTAAGTAACCAAGGATGGCTTCAAATTTGCCGTTCTCCTGCAGCCTCCCAAGTCTAATTCATTTAAAGTTTATTAACTGCTTTTGGTGGATACTGTTGTTTCTGTCTGCTTAGCATTCCTTGTCCCTTATTTTGGTAACAGCATACTGGTTTGCCCTTGGAAAAATTTTTAGGTATCCATTCTCAGTACATGTTATTGTGGGAGAAGAAAGTGGTTTAAGTTCTGGTCTAGCATGTGAGTCTGTGACTGGTCCAGCAAATCAGGGTCCTTCATTCATGATGGAGGCTGTGATTATTTCAGACTTTCGTAAGTGACACAAACCTGGCCAATGGGACACAGCCCCAGAACCTTTGCTGAAAACTTTGCAACAGAGTTCTCTTTCTGAAGTAGCTAAGCCAATAGACTGGGGTCATGTTTGCCATAATCCAATGCAAAAGAAAACAGAACTGATGCAGAGAAGGTGGTACGCACCTGTGATGCCAGGTTGAAGCAGGAGGATCACAGGTTCAAGACCAGTCTCAGCAATTAAGCTAGACACTGTCTCAATATAAAGGTCTGGGGGCATAGCTCAGTGGTAGAGTGCCCCTGGGTGCAATCTCAGGAAAAACAAACACACAATACAACACAAAGGACAGAGAGGGAGAGAGAGGGAACAACTGAGAGTAGGGAAAAGAAAGATAGATCTGATGGGATTGTTTGGGGTTCTGAATAACTCACACCTAGGTTTTTCCAATACAAGAGCCAAGCGGTTGGTTTTTCTTCATTCTTTCCCAGTCTAGGCAGTTAGCATGTAGTTGGGGGTATTCAACAAATGTTGACTAATTTGTTTGTTAATGAAATGAAGTCTTCAGTCACAGATGACAAGGCAAAGAGATTATTCAAATTAGGTACTGAAATGTTTTGATGATTCATTCAAAATTGCATAACAGGGGGCTGTGGGCGTAGCTTAGCCTAGCATGCTCCAAGGCTCTGGGTTCCATCCCCAGCACGAAAAAGAACAGACAAAAAAACAAAACAAAAACAAACAAAAAACTTATGACACAAATGTGTACAAGATGAAAAAAAGCATCTTGTGTAACTATGATACGTTAGTATTAAGCACTATCCATTAATTATTATTTGGCTTTGTATAATATTCCAAATAATTCTCATACTTGTTACCCAGAACTATTCAGTTTAAAGGATGAGTAGTCTGCTTGCCTGGTTCTAGTTTAGGATCTAAGAGCTCAGAGTCCCTGAGCTTTTGAGATCTGAAACCAATCAGTTTACTTCATCTGCTGCATCTGTAAGAGCTGACTTGAATAAGGGATTCAGGAAGCAGGTTAAGTGTTAAGTCTGAGGTTTTCTTCTTTGTTCATACAGAGTTCTAAAAATTGAAAGGATGTCTTCAAGTAATTCTTTATTCTTTTAACATGCTGCCATCATGTGGTTGCTTTCCTCATTCACATTCAAATGTCTCAAAGCTCACAAGGTTATATCTACCCTAACTCAGCAAGGTGCTAAGGAGGAAAAACCTGAAAAAGTGGAAGGTGAATAGAACTCATTTTCCCCATAATCCTAATGTAGAGTATAGTAGAAATATACGTGTGTGATTTACTAAATTTGTGAAATAAGCATAATTTGCCAAAATGCAAAATGGAATATGGTAGGTATCAAAAGAGATCTAGAATACAAAGGAAAGAAAGAGGTTCACTTAGCCTTCAGCTTATTTTTAAAATTTCTAGTCTGTATTTTTAACAAAGCAATTTCATAAAATTTGACGTATTTGCTTATACTATTAATACCTTTCAACATCTCAGCAATCATCTCTATTGAACGAGATGCTAGAGATCAACAGACAATTTGACAAATGTCTCAGTAAGTTAAAAACAAAAGTGAGAATCTTTGCCCATAGTTTGATATAATAAAAATGCCTAGGACCTGTAGAACCTTATGTAGCTCACATTATTATTTTTGAATCCTATGAAACAGATAAAGTGGGTGTGTTTAAGTAGATTCCATGAAAGTTTTCTGATTTCAAGCCAGGCTTGGTAACCCATACCTGTAATACCAGCTACTCAGGAGGCAGAGGCAGGAAGATTACAAATTCCAGGCCAGTCTGGGCAAATTAGTGAGATCCTGACTTAGAATAAGAAGGGCTGGGGATATGATATATCTCATTGGAAGAATAATAGCCTAGCATGTGTAAGGCCCTAGATTCAATCCTCAGCAAAAAAGAAAAAAGAAAGAAAGAAAACTTCTGACTTCATTATATTTGTTTTACTGCATCTTTCTTAACACGAAAGTGCCTTAAAAATATAGTTTAATTAGATTGGATGAAATATGTGAAAAATATGTTATGAATTTTGAGGTTTTATATATGATTCTTATAATTAAAGTAAAATTGGCACTATTAAATTCTATTATAATATTGCCAAACTGTTGGCAGAATAAGCTTTAGCACCTAGAGAGAAAGATTTAGAGAAATTGTACTTTTTAAAATTAGACAAAAATGTTTTTGGTTCCACTCATAGGATAAATACTTACTAAATTCTGCTTATATGTGTTAGATCATGTCTTCAAATTGTTTATTAAAAATATTACAACCTTAGATTATATACTGTTAAATAAAAATAATGGGATGCCATTGTTTTGGACTATGCACCTTCACTAGGACTCAACAGACCAGACTAAAAATCAAAACAGAGTTGTTCGTGATCAAGTTACAAACTGAAACTAAGCTGTATATGCCTCTTCCAAGAAATCAGGATTAGGGAAATAACAGCCAAATTTCCCTTACAGGCACATTTCAATTGGCAGGATAAAGATGTTCCCTCTGCTTTAATCCTTACAGGGAAAGGGGTAACCTAAAGCAAAATCTGATGCTAACTAATCAGTTGCCTTTCTATTGATGGCCTTAAAAGGAAAGTAACTTTGAAATGACCAATAAGCATTTTTTTGGGTGGGGGGACGGGGGGGGGGAGTGTTTTTGCTTTCTCTAACTTTTTCTGTCTATAAAACAACTTTTTCTGTTCAGCTAGCTCATCATTCATTCAATTTTATGGAGTAAAGGGTTACCCTATTCTAGAACATAACTGTGATTTTTGTCCTTTGACAGATCTAAGAGGCCTTCTCAGGTCTGCCCACATTCAGGAATGCTATTTGTCTTAGTCTCCCAGCCCTCAACACTACTTTCTTCCCAATACAGCCATCAGAGCCTTGTGCCAGATCACCAACAAGATCAGTGTCATGAGTTGATTGTGTTGCCCTCCCCGCAGATTCGTATGTTGAAGTCCTAATCCTCAGTACCTCAGATTGTGACCTTATTTGGAAATAAGATCTTTACAGAGGTAATAAAGTTAAATGAGATCATTAGGATGGGACCTAATCCAACATGACTGGTATCTTTATAAAAAGGATAAATTTGGACCCGAGACATTTACTAAGGGAAGGCAATGTGAAGACAGGGGAAAGATGGCCATCTACAAGCCAAGGAGAGAGGCCTGGAACAGATGCTTCCCTCACAGCCTTCAAAGAAGCCAACCCTTATGACACTTTGCTCTTAGATGTCCAGCTTCGGAACTGTGAGAGCATTAAAATTCTGTTGTTTACGTCACCTGGTCTGTGGTACTTTATTACAGTAAACCTAGCAAGCTAGTACAATTAGATGGAGGAAACGAGTTATACTTAAACTTCTTTGTGTATCTTTTTAGCTAGCTCTAATTTAACTGTTCTAATTCCAGAAAATACAAAAACAATAAATTATTTCGTCCAGGAAAAACCTTAGTGTGCATTAAACCATTCTTGTGAAAAAGAAAGTGGCTGGAAAGAGATTGTGTAATTTAATTATCAGAGTAAAGGATTATAAATTGGTTCTTCCAGACATAAATTTTGGCTTTGGCAGTTAATTCTCTAACTACATCCTCCTATTTCCGTATCCCAGCCAAACTCCTATCAGGCTATGTGAAGAGAGGACCAAATTATTTTCTTCCTTAGCCCTCAATATTTCAGGCCAAGAGAAAAAATAATTATTAGTTTTATGATTCTCAAGTAACAGTCTTTTAAAGACCATTGCCCAAAGAATTGAAGAAAATCATTTGAGAATTGTCAGCTGCAACCGTGGATATTTTTAACTGTACAGAATCTAAACATCTGTTCAATTATGGAGCCTCCCCACCTTATGAGACAGATACTGCCTCCAAATATGGAGACTAAAAATCCCTGATTACTGGGTTCCATGGATTTCCTTTCAGGTATAGCATGGACATGGAACAAAGTCACAGACCAGACATGGTCTATCCTAACCAAATCAGCAGTTGTGAATCCAAAGAACCAAGGACTGATCCAAATAAAAAAGAGAAGAAGAAAAAAAAACAAGTATTGTGGGCTGGGATGTAACTCAGTGGTAGAGTGCTTGCTTAGCATGCACGAGGTCCTAGGTTTGATCCCTAGCAACACACACACACACACACACACACACACACACACACACACACACCTCTTAATCAGGAAATGGATTCATGCAGAAAATATCTGCAAACTTGCTTCTAGCCAAATAACCTATCTCTGTATTATTTGCTTTTACAATGTGACACGTCTTCCTCTTATCCTGGATTTCACCTTAGAAAAATATTTTCTATGCTCTTAGGTTGGGGTAACTTGGCAAAGCAGTACTGCAAGTGTCCAAGTTCTATGAATATAGATGAAGAAGGCTGATACACATAAAAAAGAAAAAGAGAGGGGTACAGGTCAGAGTGGGAGAGAAGGGGGTCTTTCAACCACTGAGCATGTTTACAAAACCTCTGCCAGGTCTGCCTGTCTCCAGGGCCTTGGGAGAAATGTCTTTCAATCACAGAAAGCAAAGCAACAGGAGATGGCAAAGGTACCCTGATAGCTGAAAGAGACTTTAGGTCTGATATAGAATTCTCCTCACTCTTCAATATTTATATATGAAGGCCAAGGGGGTATGGCTTTCCCCAAATCATACTACACGAATGCAGCAGAATTTGTATAATTTTTCCCCAACCAACATGCACCTTCAACTCCAAGTCCAGTGGGTTTTCTTTTTTTTTTTTTTTCCAGTTTGTCATTTGTTGTCTTCCTCCCCAGAAATGATCCTTTCACATGTGGAGACGTTTCTTCTTCCGTTATCAGCACAGAGAGGTGACAGTGAAGGCCAGTGTCTTCCCTTTCTCTTGTAGACATAGAGTCAAAGCTGCTGAGTTTCTTGGTTTTTCTATTTGATAAAACTCTTGAGGCTGCCCTCCCAGCCTGCAGACTAAGGAAGTGTGAAGTGATCCCAGGGGTGTAGGGTGGGGGTGGTAATGCTGTGTTCTAGCCAAAGCTACAAAGATCAGAAGCCAACTTCAAGTTAGAGGAAAGCCAAGAGGCAGAAGCAGTGTTCTCAGATTTCACATAATCCAAGGAAAGATGTAGGAACAGGTTTCACATGAAGTGGAAAGTTGGGAACCAAAAAATATTTTCTATGCTCTTTCACTTTTGCATCTAAAAGACAAAATAAAAGGAATAAATTAAATTATTGTAGTTGAATCTTTAAAAAATTATTATATGAAAATGGAATTGGTTGGGGCTGGGGATGTAGCTCAGTGGTAGAGTGCTTGCCTAGCACGTGAGAGACCCTGGGTTCGATCCTCAGCACCACATAAAAATAAGTAAATAAAATAAAGATATTCTGTCCAACTACAACTAAAAAATAAATATTAAAAAAAGAAAATGGAATTGCTAAAACATAGATGATCAGCCCTTGAAAAGAAAAAAGTCAAGATTTTAGCTTAATACTTTAATATGAGCTTAAGGCATATTAACAGAAATATATATAAAATTCGGCATAAGGAACCTGTATTATTCATACCATACATGGAATATTGTGCTCTGTTCCAAATACCATGAAAGAAACAGAGACACTAAAAATATCCATTGGGCAGTTGTCATATTGGTAAAAAATGCTAAAATCCTAGAAAGTCCAGAGGAAAAACTATAGAAGGAAGACTTAATTTTTTTATTCTCTTTAAACATTCAAAAAACAATATTAGGATAATTTTGCATTACTGTTGGTCAGAGATAATATAGATTAGTGACAGTAGTTGAAATGGAATAGTGTGTTGTGGGTGGCATTTCATGTCATGGAAGGATCATATGCAGGCTACCAAGGGGATCCCTGTTCTTCATTGAATGGTAGAAAAGAAACTTTTCAACTCATATATCAATTCAGGGAGAAGAAAAAAAAATTCAGGACTCGTTTTTATTGTTGTTAACTCAAAATAACTTTCTTGAATTCCATTGGGGAAATTTTTATACAAATTTGATTAAATTCTTTCACCAACAGCAGGATGTTGACTTCATCACTGTTTCATAGCTATCAGAATATATTATCTAGACATGTTTTTAAAATGGCAACCTTTTTAACCTGTTGGTATAGTGCTTGAGTTTACAAAATGCCCTTAGGTGTTATCTCATTTCACTCTTCAAATATCTCTGCAAAGTAGATATTACTCTCCCCAGGAAACAGGTAAAATGATTTGCCAGAGATCTTAGTAAATAAGAACATTGTTCAAGAGAGATTTAGTTCTTTCCTTTCAATGCGAAGTTTAATGATGAAGCCGGTTTCCCTGGAGACTTTTTCTTTTCTTTTTTTCTTTATCACTCTGCTTACTAAGAAACTGAAAAGAAGCCAACCGCTGCATCCCAAGCTTAACGTGCATGCCCCTTTCAGACTCAAGAGAATTTTCAGATGAGAGTGGATTTGTTGAAACAAATGAAATGTACTTTGTAAACCTAAAATAAAATGTTGCTTTAAAAAAAAAGTTCATAATCACTTAACATGTTAAAATCTCTGCGCTATTATGATTTAAAAAAATATTTTAGAAGAACCAGACATGGTGGCACACACCTATAATCCTAGCTACCTGGGAGACTGAGACAGGAGGATCACAAATTCAAAGCCATCCTCAGCAATTTAGTGAGGCCCCACAGCAACTTGGATTCTATGTGTGAGATTAAGCTGCAGTTTTCTTTCTGTGTCTGATTTATTTTACTTAGCATAATATTATTCAGGTTTAATTCAGATCTTACATTTGAGTCTTTGATTCAGCAATCCTACAGCTATGGCCTGAATATTTTTGTCCTTCTAAATTCATATGTTGAAATCCTCACTCTCAAGGTAATGGTTTCAGGTGGTGGAGCATTTGGGAGGTAATTCAGACATCAGAGCAGAGTATATACATATTTTTTAGGAGAGAATATTTACACTATGTTTCATTTTTAACTCCAAATACAATACTGGCATTATGCGTTATGCATTTAAACTCTCTCTCTCTCTCTCTCTCTCTCTCCCTCTCTCTCTCTAGAGAGAGAGAGAGAGACACACACACACACACACACACACATATACACAAGCACCAAGAAGAGAAAAAGAAAGCCCAAAAGACAAGATATGTGCTACACGTACTACTAACAAAGGATTGACATCCACAATATATAAAGAGCTCTATACATTAATAAGAAAAAGATAACCAATCTAATA